TCCTGGCCGTACTACTAGGAGCAAGGACGCTACTAGGGGCTCCTGGCGTCGCTACTAGGAGCAAGGACGCTAGGAGAACGTAACCTAGGAGAACGCTGGGTGAACTGGGGGAGCCAAACGCTGCAGCCGACCGAGGCGCAGCTCTTTGCGAGAATATTGCGCCCCTGCCTCTGTCAATGCAACCAGAAACTGGGAATGCCTGTGGCAACCAAGGGGCACAATAAGTCAATAAGTTAGCTTTGGCAAATGTAGATAGATAGATAGAGGCTCCTGGTTGGTTGATCAATTGAGGGCACACACCCAAGTGTAGAACAAAAAGGTTTGGTACAGAAAGCTGACCCCCCTCGCATTGTGCATTTTTGCCGCCTCTTTTTGCTTTCGCTCGCTGGTATTGCGGTCGGCGGGCCGAGGCATACGTACAATTCATTGGGGGAGTTTGAAAAGGCTGAGGACTATTTGCGTCAGGCATGGATGGACCGATGCTTTTTTAAACAGCCACCCGCGCTTTGGGAAAGTATGTGGCAGAGACACTGTCGCTACTAGAGGCCTTGAAGTTCATCGAGCAGGAATCTGGAATGAACAAGGCGTGGGAAAAGAGTAACCACAGTGTGACACCGAAAGCTTTGCTTTGGAGCATGTTCAGGGAAACCGAGGTGGAGCTGGAATCCTGGAGACATTTTGCTTTCAATGGTGTTCTGCACGGAGACTCTGTTGAAATACCAAGGTCCTTCTGGGGTTGGGCATTGTGAGGGACTGCTAGCTTGAGCGATCACGACTTCTGCCTCTGGGGAAATCGTGGGCTGGCAGGACCGGCTCGGAAAGCACAAGGAAGCTCTCCCAGTCTGGTTCCGAGCTGGGTCCAAGATTCAGATACCTTAAGCTCCTTCTATTTCGTTTCCTTTCGGGCTGTTTGGTTTGTGAGGTCTGCGTCAAGGCCTACGAGTTCTACAAGGTCCATGGTTTAGCTTGTGACGAGGGCACTTCTAAAAGGCTAAAAGGCCTCATGACTTGACAGTGATCGTGGTGAGGAACGTGCCAATGGCGCACCTGCATCTCTGCAGGCCAAGGTGCCTTCCCCAGCTTCCTCACAGCCGGATCAGACATATTTCCCGACTCCTTTCTCTTTTTTGTTTTCTTCTATATTTGTTTCCTCTCTCTCTCTCTCTCGCTCCAAGTCTGGTCCTCTCAGTCTTCCAGCATGCGATTTGCATGTATTTGAGGCTGGCATCTCCTGTGCCAAGATCCACGCCAAGCTAGGTGATCTCAAGAAGGCTTGATGCTGGCCAGAAATGGACTGACATTTGGGAGGTGTGGTGGTGAGAAAAAAGTCAAATGTACGCGTCAGGCGGAGAGTTACATTCGCGAGGCTGTTGAGATGTACGAGGCAGATGGCTAGCTTTGTCACTTCCCACTTTTCTTAGTGGCCAGCAGTTTGTTGAGCTGGTCATCTCTGCTTGACTTGACAGATCACCTGCGGTGAGACGTCGCCCGGGACTGTTTTTCTTCAAGAGCAGCATGATCATCCGGAAAGGCAACGAAAAAAGAAAGGTTGGAGGGTCCACTGAAAAAGAACAGGCGGACCTTCACCAGCGACTTTCAACCTTGTTGGCTAGTGTTGATGATGGCCAGTTTTCTGCCGTTTTCTGAGGCCTTTGACAGCCAGCGCGTACCATGAGCTTGGCAAGTGTTTGTGGGGTCAGAGGAGACGAGAAGATGCTCAGAAGGCGGAGAGAGGGGGAGAGCAAAAGAGAGAGAGAGAGAGAGAGAGAGGATAGAGAGCGGAAAGGATTTATTTGCCGAGGTGTGTGTAGGACAGTCAGCTTGGGATAGATAACCAGGCGGCACTAGTGGCATTGTTCCTTTCGGCATCTCTTACGCCACGTCCACTCTGCACTTTTGCTCTTCTACTGTCCTTGTACTAGCTTGGTGCCTCCCATGGAAGCATGGAAGCTGCGGTCCGCATTGAGTCCAAGCAAATCTTTGAATCAGGGAGGCTTCAGTGGGAGTACGCTGGCGAAGGGGGTGCAAACATCATCCTACGGTACGTCGGCGGATGCGAGGACTTTCGGGGCTGCGTGCTCCGACTTCGAAAGGGCTTCAAGATTCCGAAGAGCAACAGAAAGGTCCAAGAGGACATAAGATTTCAAAGGTCAGTCCTTCGGCAAATCTTGGTGCCTTGGACTTTCTGGGCATGGTGTGTTTGGGTGTGAGTGTGTGGAACCCTTGGAATCACAGGGAATCCGTTGATTTTCCAAGCAGGGGGTCAAGGCGCAATATCACCAACCCTGACCAACGAAGCTGGGTGATATCGCGGGATGTGGGACCTGGCCAGTCCCACGTACCTGCTTTGGTGAATGTTGTACCTACTAACCACTAGTAGAGGTACAAGGCTGTTTAAGTCTTCAGGTTTGCAGTTTGCTTGTCTTGTGGGCCTCCAAGCCTGTAGCGAGGGCCTCCAACCTGGTTGCGATGGCCTCCACCTACTAGCGATGGCCTCTAACCTTGAGTGGTTTGTAGTTGCATGTCACCGACCTACTAGTGATGGCCACCCAACCTGCTTGCGATGGCTTCCAGCCTACAAGCGATGGCCTCCAACCTCCTCTGTTTACCCTGGTTTCTTAGGTTTTTTACTTAGGTTGGCGTGTGGCACACCGCAATCGTGTCAGTACGCAATTTCTCGAGTGTGTGTGTGTGTGTGTGTTGTGCTATGTTGTGCTTATATACCTTTTTCTAGAGGGATTGGGATCGGCAGGGCAAGTGAGATGGTGGTTGCGGCACGTATTGGCAAATGCGTTTCGAGTTTTTTTAGAGCAACATCTCAAGGGAGGCAGGTCGCGCACGCAAGAATCCTGATCCAATGTTTGCACGTCACGAAAGCTAGCACCAGCTAGCTGGAGTTGTTCTTGCTTTAGCAAGTGAGGGGCTGGAATCCTCGAGAGCGCCGCATCGCGTGAAAACTGCCCCCCCAACTTTTTTGGGACGTGTGCATTTCCGCTGGCATAGTGGGCCGACTGTCACCCGCTTCACCCCTGCTCCGCTAGCTTTCGTCACCAACCCTCGGCCTCAAGTTGTGCTGTGCTTGGAGCTAAGGATAGCTACATATCTCCTGGATCACTGGTGGAGTTGGACCTGGAATTGGTTTCTTTGATCTGGAGCGATTCCTTAGTCCAAGCTGCCCGTCCTCCAGACCGTGTGCAGCGCGATAGTGCCTTGCACACAAGCACATCTGATGGGAATCTGCTTTTAGGTATGCTTTGTGCCGACCTGAGCTTTTGCCCAAACGGATTCAGTTTTGAGATCAAACCCAAGCTTGGGGTAGCAGACTGTGGGGTGCCAGAATGCGGCGTTGACGGTGTCCCTCGATTCACCATGCTTCAGTGCATCGACTTCCCCAAGAAGAAGCCCACACTGTCAAAGTACAATCCAATTTCGCTGTTCGAGGCTGTAATCCAACAACGGAAGGTGGAGCTTCGTCGAGAGCTGTCCGTGTTAAGGGATGCTTCAAGGGACCTTCGCCAAAACAACTTTCGACTGCTTGGCAGGGAAGCATGTGAAGCCTCAAAGGCTCCAGACGCTGCGCTGGACGATTTGTGCGAGGTGGGCCAGAGAAGCATGTTTCCACTGCCGGAAGGGTTTTTAACACTGCGGTTTTTGCAATTTCCGCAACGTTAGTGTTGCACCACTGAGCACAAAGACATCCAAAAGTACCTGCAATATTTTGGCTTTTGTTGAGGTGTTTCCCTGTACTGAAAGGTGGATAGTCACTTTTGTTTTTCCACATTTAAACTACATAATTATTCGTTTGTGGATGTTCTTTATGCAGAACAAGCCCTTCATGGTGTGGGAATTGCTGCAAGTCTTTGGGCCCTAGAGGTGCTATTGAGTGCAAGGGTGCTTTTTGAAAAGCTGCGAGCCTTGAGTTTGTTGGCAGCGGGTCAAGCAGTGGAGGACCTTATTCTGGAGTTGTATGATGTTGCAGGCGCACCAAGTGAGCTTCCTGCTGAATGCTTTCAGGAGGCCTTGGAGGCTGAAGAAAGGCTGCTTGGTTCCCTTCAGGAAACATGGGGCGACAGAGAGGCAATGCAGTTGGTAGTGCAGCTGTACAAGGAGACACGCCCCCAATGGGCTTTGGCCCTGTTTCTGCTCGGGCGTGCTGCGCATGACCTGTCTTTGATCATCAATGCTGGAAGGCCTGTGCAAGAAGAGGGTTTCTTGAAGGACTTGGGCTTCGAACAGGTTGGAGACAGTGGCTTATGGGGACGAGTGACAGTGATTGATACTGACATCAAGCCTGCTGCACGTATACCCAAGTATGCAAAAACGCTGCGGAGTTACTGCCAACATGAACTGGTGCAACCCCTCCTGTCTTGCATGAAAGCAGGCGGGACGCTCTATGATGGTCTTGATTCCGTAGAAGCTTTTCAGCTGAAAAGTCAAGACGTGCAAGGCTTGGGATTTTCTGGGTCATGCCGCCTTTTGACATCGTAAAATTCGCCAACTTCCAGAACTCCGACGGGTTGACATCGTGCCAGAGTCTTGCTCCAGCTCTTGCTCAAGTTCGTGGAAGCCGACTTGGGAACATCGGTCTGCTACAACGGGCGACTTGGAAACGTGTTCCACCCAGCACCCAGCGAGGTGAGCGAAGCGAGCCAGGCGAGCCTGGCGGCCTTTGCTTCGAGCGCCAGGCTCCCTGTGGCCCCTTGCGGCCTCTGCGGCCTCGGCAGCCCGAGCAGTGCAGAGGTCAAGAGAGTCTCTGCAGTTTCACCTGATCGGTCAACTAGAGAAGTGATGGAAAGAAGATGGAGCAACCGTGGTGCTGTGATACCAGTTTGGTTTCAGTGTGCGTTTTTGATGCCAAGCATTTGCAAGTAGTAGGGATCACTGAGCCATGTGTCGTGCAGGCCTTGAAACGAGCGTACGAGCTCGAAGCCATGAAGGCACAAAACGGCACACGATTCCACGATATGTCATTCTTCTCTCCCAACGCATGGCCAGAAGAGACGAACCACTCGGAATGTCTCCGAATGGTCTCGGAATGTGCCGGAATGCGCGGTTGGTTTGTTCACTGACGTGGACATCCGACAACGACGGGGTTGGTCAATCGAAGAGTTTGCTCAGTTGGTGTTTCATGTGCAGGATGCGTGGGACCTGGTGACCCTGCTTGAGGCGTGCAGACTTGGTACGACGTAAGTCTACGCAAAGGATGTAGGGCTCACCGTCAAATCCAGAACGCAAGGCGCTGGGAGAATCGTCGTTCCGATGCCCAGCAGGTGCACAACCTTCTGATGGACACGCCTGCCACCCAAAGAGTAGATGAGTAAAGGAATCCTTGAAAGCATGTCATTGCCGTTGTATATATAGTTGTATAATTGTACACTACAAAAAAACTTCTTTAGTCCTTTGGATGTGTCCATGCCCCAGCGATTAGGAGCAACGTTTCAATCAAGGGAGAAGCTTTTTAGTAATGACTCGAGGCAATCACTGGGGTTTGTTTGGATGCACCCAGGCACCTGAAGGAGACAGCCAACATAGATCGTGCAAAGCCTCTGCCTTGTATGCTACTCAGTGTTCAATTTACCACTTACGATTTGATGTCAAAGGTTTGCAGACTACTTCGCTACTGTTGAGTACGCGCGCACCTTGATTCGGCTTGGGCAGATAATCATTTGCACTGTTTGAGGTGATGGCCGTGCTTCTTATTGCTTCTTCATAGACTTGATTTGATGCTACCCGAAGGTGGTTGGGAGAGTTCGCAAGGAGCTGCCACAGGTGCCACATACAGCATCATTGGAATCATTGCCTCTGGCGAAGTCCTAGGCCAGTTTCCGCAAACGTTATCTAACCCACAGGATGGAAACGCAGCGGTGTACTACAAGGCTGAGTTGGAAGACTCAGAATGCTTGGAAAATACTCCGTAACTGTTGTAGATTTTCATTGATGCTCCTGGTGCCAGGCAGCAGCTGAATTGAAGTCCTGGGGAGGTCGCTACAAAGAAGCGAAGGAACTTGCTAGCGCTTCCCTGTTTGTGGAATCCGTGTTTGCTGACTGCAGCGGACAGGAACTCTTCGATGTGGCCATTCCGCTGTTGAAAGCGGAGACGTTGGGGCTTAGCTTTCATGAAAACAAGCTGTGCGAATCCTGATCAGTTAGAAGTTCCAGGTCCACAGATTGCACATCTCTTCTAGAGACCTGCGAAGTCGAAAGCCAAGAACGACTGCTCAACTGCCGTGCAAGCAGCTCTTGCCGTAGCCAGTCTCGGCACTTTAGGAACATCAGCTGGTGCTTTCGTTATGATTTTGAGGCCATGAAGGCCTTCTGCGACCGAAACCTCGAGGGCACCCAGGTCTGCTGTGATTGGACCAGAAATGCCAGCATACCTCCATTTGTGCTAGGACAGTCCGATGAACTTCGCCCTACCAGCTGAGAAAGGCTCCGGTGAATCAGATGATCCTGGAGCAGCAGGTGCTTCTTCATCTGGTGAATATCAGGCCATGGCAAACGACCTTGAACATCTGAGAAAGACTGTTGAAAGACTGGTCATGGAAGCTAAATGTGGGTTTCATTGGTTATTTGCCAGGGTCCAATCATTGAAGATATTACGGACGAGGTTGAGGTGCCAGCAGAGGCCACTATCGAAAAGAGAGGTGGGAGGAGGCCTTTTGTCACGCTCAGATTTTTAGGCCAGTGCTGCAGCTGCAGCTTCATCTTCTGGCCCTTCCTCATCCGCTGCCCCGAAAGGCTGCGGAGGGGTCCATGCGGTCCAAATGTTTAAAATTCATTTTGTCCCACCAAGCCATGCATGTCTGACCTCCCAAACGCCGCAGGAGTAGCCGCAGAGTTGCGATGTCTAACTTCTTCGGATGCAGCAGAGGTGAGCAATTTCCTCGTTTCATGGGGATAGTGCAAACTTGTGCACTCCTAGCACGGAAAGCTCCTTAGCTCCAGCGTTCCAAAACAACGCATGTGCTTCGTCAAGACATGACGTTTGTAAATTGAAGAATGCAGGTGTACACCTGCATTGTTGGTCCCACAGGCTTCCAAGCTGTGCTCATCCTTGTCACAAGATCCGCTGTTCAGCTCCGCCAACCTGAAGGTGCTTGGGTTTTTCTCTGGAGCTCCGGCCCCAGCATTTTTGAGCTCCTCAGGCACACTTGGAGGCAGCTGGAGCCGGCCTTTGCTGGGCGGTCGCAGGCATACCAGGAAATGAAGCCTCATTTGGCTGTGATTTGCTGTAGCGCTAGGTGAGCGAATTTCGGGTGTGGCCTTATGTGGCTCAGATGGCGCCTGGATCCGAGAGAGGACTCCCGCTTCGGTCCGCCATCCAGACGACTGGATGCCTCTTCTAGTAGCGTCCTTGTTCCTGGTAGCGATGCCCTTTGCTCCTATAGACATCAGCTCCGCCGAGGTTTTTGGAAACCTTCTGCAGCTGGCCGTGGAGCTCGGAACTCGGTGAACGCCTCCGAAACAACTCCGACAACGACTCGGAACGGCCGTGCAAGTGGTGGCCCGGTGGCGATGAAGCCGAAGAGGTGTGCAAGGATTCCACAAGCTACTTTAATAACAAGGGCAAGGGCATCGCTACTAGTAGCGATGCCCTTGTTACTAGTAGCTTCTTGCTACTAGTAGTAATGCCCTTGCTACTAGTAGCGATGCCGTTGTTGCTAGTTTCAATTCAGCTTTGGTGATCCATTCGTAATGGACTATCCAACTGACTCACAGACCCTTCACGTTTGCTATTTGAATAGAATGTGATTCGATGAGGCCGTGCGCAACGGAGACGGTGAGAGACACCAAGAAGCGCCTGATAGATCGTTGCCAACAGGCCGGCACGTGACATGTACACTACTCATAGTCGGAGAGAACTGTGGGACCTCTACCAAACTACAGTATCTAAATTCCATGTGATGCAAACCAAATGACTCGCCCAAAGAATGAAGAGTAAGGAAAGCTTGCGTTTGTGAGTGAGGCCTGCCACGAGAGGGGCCTCAGGGGGCTGCGCGCAGAAGCCTTACACAAATGTAGAAGCGGGGCTCCCGCAGTTTATCCTGGCTGCACAAGAGGCACACCAAGCAAAGTTGGTTTAGGCTACCTTGACGGAGGAGGACGACACGTTCAAGGATCTAGGCTCCGGTCGGTCGTTTTCAGTTTCATTCTTTCAGATGACTCTGTCCGAGGGTGGAAGGCCCAACAGACATGGTTCAGCGATGTGTTGGCCTTACCGCGACGGGGCCATTGCGACCCCCCAGAAGAGCCGGACTGAGGATCGGCCCGACAAGAAGAGCCGAACAGGAATGAACGGATCCGCGGCGCCCAGCTGAGACGATCGCTCCGGCGATTGCCCGCGTGGTTGGTGCAGTGCACCAAGTTGCCAAGTGCACTGAGCTAACGAGCGACGTTTTCAGGTGTCGTCCACATCTCCCGCTCCAAGTGATCCCAAGCTTCGACGTGATGGCAAGGCAGCTGAACTTGCCTTGAACACATTCCGTAGGAGGGTGGGGGCTTGTTCTTGTCGGACATGCAGGATGTCAAGACGTACTACCAAGCATGGGACAAGGTGAATGTTGACAGGGCCAGGGTCCATGTTGGAGCTTTCTTTGCTTGATGGTCCTGGCGCTGTCATGTGCTGTCGTATTCCCAGAGGGATTTGCTAGGCCCTGGTTGCTGAAGAAGGGCTGGATCCTGCTGCCGGGACCTTGGACTTGGAGAGAGAACAGCTGAAGCAGAAGCACCAACCAGACTAGACTAAGATCGTGCCGGAGGATCAACGGCCGCTGGTGCTGTCCTTAAAGACAGAGGAATGCTTGTTTAAGGGTTGGCCGACCTGCATTGGGCATTGAATCACCAATAGCCGTTTCAAGATGTTTCAAGAGTTGAACGTAGTGGGATCTCGATAGTAGCAACCTTTGAATGGACACAGCCTATGTTAGTTTATACCTTCAACGTTGCTCTTGATGTTAGGGCCTGTTAGGGCAGTCGTGGGGGTCCTGGAGCCAGGCTGACTTCGGGGACCTCGACAGACACCTGGATGTCACACTTACAAGTTTGATGACATTTGGAAAGATTGCAGGAAGCAGTCTCGAAAGAGGGGCAGCAAGACGAGATTGCCTTTGTGTTTTGTCTTGCCTTTGTGCTAGGGCTCGAGAAAGATCTCCCGCTTTTCCTGGGTGCTGGCCTAAAGACTTGAGGCTTGAAATCACTCCCGAGCATTCGTTTGTCCCAAGGACCAGAGCAACACCGGCGTGAGCATTTATTTGCCATTCGATGGAGTTGCGTCCCAAGAAATTGTTTGGTGGGCTCCACGTGGGTAACAACCAACGAGATGAGAGATGAAGAGCCTTCTTTTGGCCTAGTTGGATCATGTGCACGACGCTCCGCATCTTTGGGGCTCGAGCACGCTTCCAAAGAGGTTCTTGCTGGAGCTGACCTGAAGATGCCGGGCATCGACTATTCCAAGTTTGACAAGATCGAGGACTCAGATGATGAGCCGCCAAAGCCAAAGGTTGCTGCCGCTCCAGCGGCAGCTGCTGCACCAGCTGCGCCAGCTGCCACTCCTGAGGTGTCTGCGAAGTTGCCAGAGGAGCACTGCAGGCCCTTGGAGGATGCCCCCGATCTCACGCTACCAGATGGTGATTGGTTGAGCTTCTATCAAACCAAGATGACCACACCACAGAGGATGCAGACGCTGGTGCATTTGTGGAACTCGGCCGGCCAAACTGAGAGGGTTGAATTCCTGAGGCACCTCATCGACCTCATTAACAACCCTGCAATCACAAACAGGATAAAGGGTGGCCAAGAGGTTTTGAAAGATTTGGATGCAAACTACTACCATGGAGTGACCTTTCCGGAAGCATGGGTGAAGACCTTTCAGGGTCTCCAGGTGGATGACAAAAAGGTCACCTTCGAGAAGCTGTTCAAGTCGCTGGACCAGCAGGAACGAGGGCTAGTTCTAGGAACCCTGATGTGACAGCTGCTGGAACCAAGCTGCGACTCACAGCGTCACGCTAGGCAGCGGTGCACGTCCGAAGAACAGACGTTCGGCCTCGGATCAAGAGGCAAAAAGTCGGGATGTGTTGGATGAGTCACGCAAGCATGTGAAACGGTTTCTGGCTTGTCCCTATCGTCAAGCCCCCAAAGACCCGCGGGAGTTCAGGCCGGAATCAAAGCGGTATTGTTTCTTGGACACTCAGAGCAGAGAATCTCCGAGGAAGTCCAGTGACTACTGTCAAAAGTCTTCATGACCCCTTTCTCCTAGGTGGGATTGCTGCCAGAGCAGGCCATACAGGTCGAGTTCAGGCCATTTCGGGGTAGAGTTCAGGAGCTGTGTAGTGTTTGTGCTAGATGTGCACTTATTCTAGGTCTACGGGCGGGCGGAGGTGGATTCATGCCGCCCTGAAGGAATATCGGCTTTCTCCTCACCATCGAGAAGGAGGGCAAAAGCCACTGGTGCGGTTCCACAAGTTGCCGATTGGGCTCCTGATGACAATGAGTGCGCCTCTTCCCAGGTACAAGATACCCAACCTTTGTCATCCAATTGATGTTGCTGCATCACGGAAGACGGTCAAAGCAGATCAGGCGGGGTTTGTTGCCACAGTGGTCACTCCGCCCCTTATTACCATTTATTACCTATATATGTATCTCCTAGGTTGTGGTGAAGCTTCGAAAGCAACGTGCTGGTAGCCTGGGCCCAGACGGAGGATCATTGATTCATCTTGTGCCGATGATCCCATCATGCTGTGCCGAGGCTGGTCGGACTTGACTGACGACAAAGACAGGCCTGGGCCATGCTGGAATCAAGCGAAAGAGAACACAGTTACGACACTTATGAGCTGTGTTGGCCGTAGCTATGTCGAATCCCTCAACGAGAGTTTGCCGGCTCCCTGAGCTAGGTACCAGAGGAAGCGAGAGTATCGCCAGGATCTTAAGTAAAAGTCGGCTCATCGAGGAAAAGGGGGGCAGGCCGGGCAGGACTGCATCTTGGGCGCCTTGGAAAGCTATGTTTTCTCCTGAATAAGGTATACAACACGGAGACCTCAAAGGTGCCACGACCGAGGATGGTTTCTGGATGTCCCTTTGGTCTTTGACGTGTCTTTGCGCCACTTTCCTTATCAGTGCGGATGAATGTGCAGGAACTGTTGGCGGATATGTACAAAAATGCGACAGATGAGGATCGTGCTGGACTGCGTGATGCCATGCGCCATCCCAAGATGTTGAGCTGCTCGTGCCCAGAAGCCGCTTCTCAACTCTTCATGAGTTGCGATGGCGATTGAACCCCTCAGCCTGGCTGAACTGCGAGGCGTGTGAACAGGGAGAAGCGGGAGGAGGATGCTCGCAAGGCAGGGGTCACCCATCTCCAAGTCCTACGATCAGACTCTGTGCCTTTGTGCTTGAGTTTGGGATTCCCTCATTTTCGAGGGTGATACGCTCTGACTCACGAACATGGAAGTGGATGGCATCGTCCCTTGGAAGACTACTTTCCTTAACAACAAGGGGGTGAACTCCACTTCCATGTGATGTGTTTGTTGGGAAGCGTATTCTCTTTGTCTTCCTGTGCTTCCCTGCAAGGCGGCAGAAACATGACCTGGCTGCAGGAGGTGTTCCCTTGCACATGCGAAGACAGCAAGTCATATGGTGTGTGTCACTTGCAAATGATAGGGTGGTCTTGTTGTGATTCAATCCACATGCCACTCATACATCTGGACAGAACTGGGAACCCGCAGAATTGTCCAAGTCTTTGCCAGCCTTGTGCAGCGCAAATTTGGATTTGCTGGTCTGGGGAGGTGGGCACTGTGTTGCATTGATACCCTGGGAATGCCTTGGAACTGCCTAGCTCTCCTCATGACTAAGATGCTGGAGACATGGCTTGGACGCGGAAGAATTTAGCCTACTTCGTGTGCGCAACATGGCGTGGCACATGGGCCTTGCGTGTCCCAAGAACCTTTCAGGGCAATCCTGAGACAAAGACCATAGGAGCCGCCGAAAGACAGGTGGAAAACAAGACCGATCTCTCTGCTTGGGTGCGTGTTTGCAACCTCTTGCCACCCTGATTGAATGGAAAGGCGCTCAGAAGCCACGTTTAACATCGTTTAGCATGCAAAAGTTGAAAAGATAGGGCACTGAGAAACAACCTCAGCACCGTCCGTATTTGCAAGAGAATCACTGCAGACACTGGGGCAGCCCACTTTCTACGGATGGCAGAGGAGGTTGGAGATGAGCATGTGCTGGGCCAAGTCCTGTGACACTCCAAGACTTGGGAGCCATTCCTGCCCTTCGGGTCTGTCTTCTGAGCAGCCACGTTGAAGGGCCCCGCATGCTAGATAGGGCATTTAACACCATCCCTGCGCCAGCATGAATATCATGAATCAGTCTGAATGCCAGATTTGTTGCGGAAAGATGGTGAGAGAGACATGGGCAACTCTCGTCGCCTTGGCCCCAGCTAAGGTGCGTGAATTGGTTCGGAATCTGGAGCTGGAGGCTTTATTGCCCGAAGGCGGGGTGTCAAGCTCAAGAATTATACAGCAGTGAACTGTTGCTCACAGGCGGCTTCTTCCGACGAACCCACTATTCAACAAACCAAGTCGAGGCCGCCATGTCTTTCTCGGTGTGTGAGACTAGAAGCGCAAGAGGGTGTGATTGACAGACACCGGATGGACGCGGAAGAGCTTTGAGTGCAATTCTATATTTGATGCTGAGCCTCAGCCTCAATTGCTACTAGAAACAGGTGCATCGCTACAAGTAACAAGGCACCTTACTACTAGAAGCAAGAAGCTACTAGTAGCTCGTGGCATTACTACTAGTAGCGATTTCATTTCAGTGAGTAACCTGGTGAATCCGAAGCTACCCGATTGCAGAACATTGAGACATTTCCCGAGGTGACAATGTATCGAAGCTACACAGGTACATGGGTCGCAGCATGATTGAATTCGTTTTCCGTCCAGAATGTGGGAATCAGGCAGGGGTGGATGGAGAGTGGAAACAGTGTTGCAAAAAAGCTTGAAGAGTGTGTGTGTTGTTATTTTTGTTTGTTCAGTTGGCTTTGGCTTCTGTGGCTGTGGCTTCAATGCTTTTTTGGTCACCATTCCTGCAGAATTTGTTTCTTTGTAGCTCTGCTACTTTTGGCCTTTGAGCCTTTGGAGGCTGTGGCTTTGGTTGGCTTTGCTTGTATCGACCGTTGTCCCTTCTTTTTTTGCTTTTGATACTCGCACTGGAAACGTGTGGCTGAGCTCTTGCACATTTGGTGGTGTGTTGCATATGGTACCCCGGATGTTCCTTCTAAACAAAGATATTGAGCCATTTGTGGTCTTCGGACGAATGATGAAGAAGGCATCAAGCCATCTGAGACGAAGACATTGAGCACGGGATATATATTTATATGTATATATATTATTGTTTAATCGATTGTATATACTATACTCCAAAAGCACCATTGCAGCCAAAATGGTTCCACAACGAATCCCAATTTCCGGATGAAGCAGGGTCCCTGCCCCACATCATGTTGCCTAGTAAATTGTAGGGCTCAGGCGGAGAAGCTCGTGGAGAAAGCCATAGATGAACTACAGTAAGGACCATCAAACCATCAAACCGTTTATTTTTCTACTATTTGGTGTCATCAATGCCGGTGAGCCACAGAGTTTGTCTACAATCACCCTACGGCTTTAGGCTGAAAGTCGACGAGACATGGCATTTCTACAATGGTGGCCTGGCCGCACCAAGGCAACAAATGTGTGTTTGTCCATTGCCGTTGCCTTTCTAGTTCGGCAGATTCCAGGGTTTTGTACGGCAATGGATGTCCATTGGCATTTCAATCTGCCCTGGCCTGGTTGGTTGCAGATGTGGTGAGAGTGAGGCTCAGCAGTCAACATTATCGAGCTGGATCATGAAGTTGGGTTCCAAGCACCATCCATGTAGCCTGGCAATCTTTCTATTGTTTTGACTTGCTTGCTATGCCGAAGCTGCACCAGTGTTTGAAGTTTGATACTGTTTGCCCGCCTACCTGACCTACCCAGCCTACCTAGCCATTGTAGATCAAGCCGGTTGTCGCTGGACCGCACGATGTCCGAGAAAAAGGGGTGGGACTCGGCCTCAGAGGCCTATGCACCCTTCGAGGCCTTCACAGGGCAGTTCTCGCGTACGGCTGCAGTAGCATTGTCCGACGTGCTGCGTGCAAGCTCAGCGAGGGCGAGTCAGGCTCGGGTCATGGATGTGGCCGCTGGCACCGGTGCTTCCACCTTCGCAGTGTGCAAGACCCTGGCTGAACTCTGTCGTGAGCTTGAAGCCACGGCTGAGGTGGTGGCCACGGACTTCAGCGAGTCGATGTTAAAGATTCTGACTGAAAAGCTGGCGCGTCCAGTTTGGACTCTGATGTTTTGGCGACACGAGCAGCAGTCAAGGAAGGTCTTCTGCAGGTGTCCTCTCGAGTGGCTGATGCTCAGGACCTCTCTTCATATGAAGATGGATCGTTCGACGCTATTGTCTGCACCTTTGGCATAATGTTTCCGCCATCTCCAGAGAAAGTTGTTCGAGAATTCTGGCGATTGCTCAAGCCTGGTGGGGTTGCAATCACAACCACCTGGCACTACAACAACGCGGTCCACGATTTCTTGTCTGACTTAGCTCATGTTTTCAAGGGCCAGGGCCGATTTGAAGATGTGCCACTTGCAGCTCGAACGATGAAATTTGGCAACGAGGCCTTCATGCGACGCCTCTTTCGCGGTGACCTTGATGAGGGTCCAACCGTTTGGAAGGACCCTGATTTGGAAGCTCGCTTTGTGCCGGGCAGTCATCCGTGCTTGCCACGGCACATGGCTGCCACACTCAACAAGAACCCTGTTGCAAGCGAGTTGGCTCCGTGGGATGAGGGCGCAGCTGAGGCGCATCTTCAGGAGAAGTGGGCAGGAGAAGACGGAACAATTCTCCTGCGAGGAACAGCTTTAGTGCTCCTAGCAAGGAAACCTAGCTAATCTTCGACAGTCAGTCCAGTCACCATCAGTCTTCACTACTGTGGCAAACTCCGCTGCAGTGGCAAACACCTGCTCCCTACAAGGCTACAGAGCCCGAACAACAGGCCGTGCATTGCCATCGGGCCATCGGGCAGAGTTGATCATTTCGTTTGATTAATGCTCCCGGCATCCGCCCAAACTCAAGCTCCGAGCCGGAAAAGATGACCGTTTTCCGCACTAAAGCATGACCTTGGCTAACTTGACAATGTGTTTTTTGTACCCTGGCTAGGGTTCCCCACAGAGCCAAGCTTGGTAACTAGATAAGCTCAGGTTCCAGGGCATGCGAGAATGACTCGTGCAAGGCTGAGCTGAAAGGCAAGCTCAAGAGCATCCAACGAACGCAGATAACCACCAAGCCTCAGACAGTCAGACAGGTGTGCGGTCCAGTTGGGTTGTTTTTCTGCGTTGGCGCTGTAGTGTGACCCAAGTAGCTGGACACCAATCCGTAGTCGATGCTGCACTTCTTCTCAGACAAGGCCTGGGCTCCGTGGAATCTGGCTGTTGTGCAGGGCTCAACTCACAGCCTCAATTGCACGGCTTGTTGACTCATTTCCTGCCACTGTGTTTTCCCCTTTCTCTTGCTCCATGTTCTATTCATTTACTCTCAGGCACTTCAGTCGCATCAGTTTGCACAAAATGTTGCATTGCAGTTCCTTGCGTCGAAAGCTCTTCGGGACATGCAGTTTGAGAGTTTTTAAGGACACGCTATATGCACATGATCTATATAGCTATTCCATTGGTTTACGATGGCAACCTTTTAACTCCCCAGATGGCAAGAGCTATTGGGAGAGCCTGGGAGAGCTATTGGGGTTCATACTTCAAGTGCAGGAAGAGGTACCTGTGTGCGCTTTGGAGCCTGGGTGTTGGTGCCGCTGCAGGGCGCGGCTGCGAGATGTTCATGACCGCATGGGTGCTGGTGCCGCTGCAGGGCGCCGCTGCCGGATGTGTGCGCCTGTGTGTGTGTGTGTCTGTCTGTCTGTGTGTGTGTGTGTGCCAACTCCTGTCTCTAAGGAACTTGTTGATACATGTGCAGAGCAGGGGGCCATCCCTCTCACCAGTGGTGGATGGCCACCGAAGAGGCCACTGGTGAGGGCTGCAAACGTACCTGCTGACCTAATTAGGGCAACAGGAGGACATGGTACTCGACGCACTTGTGTGTCGGTGCCTTTCCTTCTGTTGTTCCTGTTCTAGTCTACTCTACCCGGGCGGTCTTAGAAAGACTAAAGTCCCGCTCCCTAACTATTGCACCTAATGAAGAACCGCTAAGTAGTCAGTAACTAGTAACTATACAGTTTTTGTTGAAACCTTCTGTTGATCGGACCCAGCTTTCCTTGCCGTTCCCTCAAGTCAAGGGCTAAGTATTGAGTAACTAATTTCTGGAACTTCGAAGCTGATACAGCCTGTGAGCCCTTTTCCAAGTTTGTTTCGCCACAGGGTCCCAGAGGGCTGTGGTGTGATCCCCATCGAGGGGCGCGTTTGTTTGCACATGCCCTTTGAAATGGCCCTCCACTGAACATTCCGTTGCTCTTCGAATACCACTGATTCAGCGGTTTGCACGAGAATCACGAGAATGCTGATCGAATGCCGCAGGGCCCACTGAATACCACCACAGAATGCCATGTCACGCTGCTAAGTATTCATAGGCACTCGGCTAAGTATTCACCTTTCGGTTCTTTCCTTTTTGTGTTGCTCTTCGTTTTCTAGGTCTTCCTTCGTTTCTAAATGCTTTTGAGGTGTAACTGAGGCCTTTGAGTCAAGGGAGCGCCGATTTCGGCTTCTCGGCCAGTCTCTGGGCCCGTGCCTATGGCTCTCAAGAGCAGTATCTCAACAACCCACACCCCCTGCACCTTTTCTTTTCTTTCCTTGCCTTTTTCGTTTGCTTGGTCTCTCGTTCAGGCTTGTTAGGTCGGCGTTTAGGCTCGTTTAGTCAACGCACGCCCAACCAACACCCCCCGCACCCCTGCACCTTTTCTTTTCTTTTATTCCCGAAAGCATTGCGAAGGGTTCTTCCGGAAAATCCCTTGAACACTGACACTTCGACACTTACACTTACACACTGACACTTCCACCACATTCGCACTACATACACTGACACTTCGACACTGACACTTACACATACACGCTGACACTTGGCAAGCACGCAGTGTAAGTATGCAAGTGATGGGTACGCAAGCATGCTTTGAGCATGCAAGCATGCAATGAGTAGGCAAGTGTGAGTATGGAAAACTAGCACGGGAGATGTCCTAATGAAAAAACATTTCCCCACTTTATAAATTCTCTCTTAAAGGCGGAGGGCGGGACGAACAGCGTCAACCGAAAGTGCAACCCTCTGCGGAGATCGTGCGTGTCGAGTGCGCCAAATGCAGGTGAGAGTGCGATTTGTCCGGTCCGCGCGCAACCCTCTGCGGAGATCGTGCGTGTCGAGCGCGCGAAATGCAGGCGAGAGTGCGATTTGCCGGCTGCGCGCGCAACCCTCTGCGGAGATCGTGCGTGTCGAGTGCGCGAAATGCAGGCGAGAGTGCGATTTGTCCGGTCCGCGCGCAACCCTCTGCGGAGATCGTGCGTGTCGAGTGCGCGAAATGCAGGCGAGAGTGCGATTTGTCCGGTCCGCGTGCAACCCTCTGCGGAGATCGTGCGTGTCGAGTGCGCGAAATGCAGGCGAGAGCGCGATTTGTCCGGTCCGCGCGCAACCCTCTGCGGAGATCGTGCGTGTCGAGTGCGCGAAATGCAGGCGAGAGTGCGATTTGCCGGCTGCCCGCGCAACCCTCTGCGGAGATCGTGCGTGTCGAGTGCGCGAAATGCAGGCGAGAGCGCGATTTGTGAAATTACCGCGCGACCCTCTGCGGAGATCGTGCGTGGCGAGTGTGCGAAACGCAGGCGAGAGTGCGATTCGAGCGGAGCAAGCTGTGGAGCTGGAAGCGGAGAACTGGCGACTTTGTCGTGCAACTTTAGTACGCGGAGGAGCTGGGGAGCTGGAAGCTGAGAACTGGCGACGTGGTAGTACGACTGTAGTGCGTGGAGTAGCTGGGGAGTGGGAAGATGAGAACTGGCGACTTGGTAGTACAACTTTAGTACGCAGAGTAGCTGGGGAGCTGGAAGCTGAGAACTGGCGACGTGGTAGTACGACTGTAGTACGCGGAGTAGCTGGGGAGTGGGAAGATGAGAACTGGCGAGTGGGCAGTACAACTTGAGTGCGCGGAGTATCTGGGGAGCTGGAAGATGAGCACTGGCGACTTTGTAGTACAACTGTAGTTCGCGGAGTAGCTGGGGAGCTGGAAGCTGAGAACTGGTGACTTAGTAGTACAACTTTAGTACGCGGAGCAATCTGTGGAGCTGGAAGCTGAGAACTGGCGACTGTGTCGTGCAACTTTAGTACGCGGAGTAGCTGTGGAGCTGGAAGATGAGTGAGTGGGTAGTAGCTGCGAACTGGCGACTTTGCAGTACAACTGTAGTGCGCGGAGTAGCTGGGGAGCTGGAAGATGAGAACTGGCGACTTGGTGGCGACTTGGTAGTACAACTTTAGTACGCAGAGTAGCTGGG